AAAATACCCCAATCTTATGCTCATGAGGAATCTGATCAAATTGACTTGCAGATATGTTCCTCATGTGTCAAAGCATGTATTCAACCATCTCAATCGATCCCAAGTCCCCTGAAAAATGAAATCACCCAAAAGCAAAGAGAAGGGGGTTCGGGAGAAGAAAAACCAATTCAAAACACGAACTCCACAAGAACTCAGATCTTAGCCATGGATTTTAGAGGTCATATTGCTGCATTTCAAGCACCAACAAGATCTGGTCTTACAAAGGAATGATTAACATAGTAGAGGTCTGATTCTCTCACTACAGATCTCAATAGACAAATAAACTAAAGACTGAAAACTTAAACTACTAAGTCTGGAATGAAAACTACTAGAGAGATAGCTAGTTGGGGGAAGACATCTTATTTATAGAGCTATTACACATTTCCAACATGCCCTTAGATTTTTTGGCTGAACCACTTAACCTAGGGGCAAAATGGTCCAACCTGAGATCCAACCATTCGATGGCCACGAGCTCTTCACGACTTTGCTTCACCACGACGCAAGCTTCGCGATAATGCCACATGTCTCCTCCCATTCTGGCCGGAACTCCAACCGGGTTTTGAGCCCCAAACATGAAAACCATCCGGACGGTGGTTTTGAGGCCCAACCCACCAAACCGCCTGGAGAAGCATATCCGCTATGCCTCCTCCATGATCTTGATACATGTCATCACCATCGTCCTTGACTGCCTGATCACCAAGTCCTTTAGCGCCTTCACTTTGACTTAGTTAACCGCCGTCTTGACTTGGTCAACACGATCTAGTCCTCTTCATGTGCTCTTGCTTGTTGATGTCCCCAAGTGTCAGCCACCACGGTCAGTCTTCCAGCCATCTTGGTCCCTCGGTCCAAAACTCACGTCCGTCCTTCACGCTCCTAGTCCATCGGCATAGCTCATCTCTACTTGACCTTCACCATGCCCATCGACAGTCTCTATGCTCCGCACCTATCCAACACAACCAAGAGACATGATACACAAACATACTCATGCCACGGTTAGTCTCCAAACTCAACCAAAGCCGATCATCTCCAACAATCACTCATCACAAACTCGACACACAATGACACATATCAACTTATGTTCGCAGATAGACTTATATATAGTGGGGATTAGATTTATAAGAGATATAGAAATAGATGGTACCATTAATTATAGCATATACAAAGATGTACTTAAATTTTACTTCTAGTATCAAATTCAATATAGAATTTCTGTATATCTTGGCCTGCATGTTTTCAAAGGAGCATAAACCCTCTTTGTCGATTTACCATTCATTCCAATTATTAATACCAGCATTATATATTTTGTTTTAGTCAATTCTAGACGATACATGGTGACATTAATCCAACGAAAGCTTGCTCTACTATATATGAGCAAGGATGAGATAAGCACTAATGCAAAGATCATTACAAGGGCAAGTATTTCCTAAAGTAGATGTCACGACCCAAAGTTGTTCCAACTAAAACTTTATCGAGAACCTCCTTGATTACTTTGCACAGGCCATAATCACCTTATTATTATCTTGAAAGGATTCCTAGTGCTCTCTGCTAGGACAAGGAGTCCAAATTCGTTAATCAACCGTATCAATTCTTCCAAGTCAACTTGAGTCAACAAGAGTCAACCATGGTCAACCGACATTTGGATTTGAGAAGAAACTCAATAAGGGTGCCCAAGTGACATTCTTAATCACCTAAAGGCAATTAGCAACCCCTAAGGCATCATGAATGGCCTCAATGCCAAAACCCCTCTCTCTAAATCAATTTCTCAAAATCAGAGTTTTGACGGAACATCCTGTTGAATCGGCAGACCGTCCATCAATCCATTCATTCAACAAATCTAGATTTGGATGAGTTATCTCTCTCTCACTCTTGGGACCCACATGTTAGCTCTAAGTAGAGACATATGACAGCAGAAGGAAGCCATCACCACTCACTCTCTCACCCACTCACTCATTTCCATTCCCCTATCTCTCTCTCTACAAAGCAAGAACAAGGAAGAACTAGAGAGATAAAGTGAAGAATATGAAGGGAAGGGAGAGAAAGAAAAGAAGAAAAAGAGGAAGATCGTCAAGGAGTGGCCAGCCATCTCCCCAAGAGAATCTCCATCTCCATCCATGGTTAGCTCAGGAGCTCTCTGTTCTCATTTTCTTGAAATCAACTCTCAAACCCTAACTCTTGATTTCTCCATGCATGGATGCAATGAAGACTAAGCTCCATCATCTCAAGAGTATGCTCAAGATCATCCCTAGCTTAATCAGCTCATGAATCTCTCAAATTTCTCTCTGAAGCATTTTTATAGATTTTTGCAAGAAATCTCATGAATGGCCAAATCCATGTCTTTTGCTTGGAAGCAAGATTGAGCAAGACTCCATCTCTGATCTTGGTGGCCTAGAGGTCACCCAATCTCAAAGATAAGTTGCCATGCCCAAGTTCATGAACTAATCTCTCATTTTCTCATGATTAAATTAATTTCCAAAACACTATGATGCACTTGTTAACTAGAGCTCCAAACCTAACAATCACTAGCGCAACATGTTACCTAAACAACCCTAGAGAGCCCTTACACATGCATGGTAAACACCATCCATGATCTAGTCTTGAATCATAAATGAGCACGAGGAATAATGAAACACATAGGTTCTGTCGACGCATTGACAGAGCATCCATCAGATTTATGGACCGTCGATCAGTGCTAACACTTAACCAAAAATCACAGCCAACACTTAGTCTTCATTGCCAATGTTTTCACGGATCATCCATTAAGAATAAATATTCATTTTCCAGAGAACCCGAGAGCACCCCTTTCATCATGGAGAATTCATCAATTTCACAGATCATCCATGAACACAATCACCAATCTAACTAAGTCCTGGTACCCACGGATCATTCTAGATAACGTTCTGTCGACACCATGGATCATTCGACAATTCACCAGTATGTTCCATCAATTAACTCAGAGCCCAAAACAAACTTGTCAGCCTTGGGAATTCACTCATGGATCGTCAGTCCAATCCATTGACTGTCCGTGCAATTAAATAAAAATTCATCATTTTTAACCCTTAACCCTAGGACCCAACCACCCTATTGTATAATCACATGAACACTAATGAACCTCTAATCTATCAATGGTTGATCATCTCTCATTCACCACAAGCCTGCCACTTTATCTCCCACTTTTCCCAGTTTTCAGGTCTATATAATATGTGAGGAACACGAATAATAGTCATGCGTCCTTGGTCATTGGGACTTCATGATAGGCAAGAACGACTACTATTACCCCTATTTTGGATGCTTACATGTTTATTCATTATGAGTTTGCATTTCATTTAAAATGATAAACTAGTCCACCTTGATTCACTAAGTTAGACCAACTCACTTAAGTAATCATAGCCTTTACTTAACCAATGGGTTGGATCGCTTAATTGCTTAGTTGGCTAGCTTCGATAGAAGTCGATTATGAGCGGGTACTCACTCTCGCGCGTGTAGGAGCAACACTGGGGTTAAGTAACTACTTAAAACCTGCAAGTGTGTCAACTTGATTCAATTCGTTCAATGTGACTAAGGACCAACCTTAACTTGAGATAATTAAGAAATGATCAATATAATTGGTAATCTTTACTCAAGCGAGGGGTAAGGTCACTATATGAGTGTTGGATCTCAAGTGACATAGCTCATGGAGTAGCTAAGGACTGTTCATGGGATACTGAGTTTGAGTAACCACCTGTACAGACCATGTATCACTTATGGGGCGGTAAGTCAAGTACTTAGTGGTGACTTGCTTGTCGTGCGGATTCGGCGCGAGAGGTGACGCGGTGTAGACGAGATGTCATTACATTGGTACCTCATCAAACTGTTCGTCGATCGGAGAGCCACAGTGAGGAAAGGTCAGAACCATGAGGCAACCCTTATCCGGGCACGGGTATGGTGGTTCGTCCTTGGTGTCCGTGTGGGCAAAACTGTATGCCTTTGCATAGATCTTTTCGAAAGTCTAAAGTCTTCGGACGGACTTACTTGGTTGTTCTCTCTTGTAGACTTAGCGTAGTGCTAATGATGGAACTTGATGATGAGATAATTATAACATTGATCACCTAACTATGTTTCTCAATTGTTACTTGTTAATATAACTATACATGTTAAAGACTTGAAATTTGAATCATGATCATATCATCGTCTATGGAATGCCATGCATTTTATGCAAAGTTACAAATGCCTATTAATCCCTGCATCCACCAACTATATATATGTTGGTATAAGCCCTGCGAGTACGCAATGTACTCACGGTCCTACCAATAAGTTGTTTTGCATGTACTTCAGACTTGATGACCATTGAGCCATGCTCAATGAAGTCAAAGTGTAGCAGACTTCTGGATGGGCATCCCCCAAATGAGCTGATGCTAGTATTTAGTGAGTGAGAGTAAACTTAGTTAGAACGTGGGTTAATTAATGAACTATCTAGATATCATGATTAAGATTACATTTCACTTGTATCTTCTTTTATGGTCAATGATGTAAATTGTTAATTCTTTAATATACGATGATTGTGATATGAATTGTTTGATGAATGGTTCATGTGGTGTAACTCAACCATAAAAGATACTCAAGAGGAGGTGCGGATGGCACTCTCCTGAGGATCCTTGGTGTCGGTTTAGACTAAAACTGGGTCGGTCAAGGGGATGACACCCGGTTTAGTTGGATTGACGTGTTGGACCCTCACAATAGACCTGACTGGGATGTTAAAGATTAGCCCATTCTCGCAAACAAAAAATAGTAGCAAGAGATGTGATGATTGACCATGAAGAACATTACATTCATTTTGTAAACAAGGGAAATATTCATCAACACACAACTGATAAGCAAGGAAATGAACTTACAACAACTTAAGAATACATTATCAAAGGAGAAGTAGAGAAAAAAATTGAGTAAATAGAGGATAGAATCAAACATGCACCCGACCAGACAATAAATTAGAACTGAGCTTGAATCCAGTTAACCGTGTATTGATTGACCTGAAAGGCCTTGGCAAGGATATCATCTGATATTGATGGATCGGATCCAAATACTGTGTTGGCAATAGTGATTACTCCAGGGTTTTGGCTGCTCAAGGCGGCAAGAGCTACAGCATTGTCCATGCCATAGTTATACTGAAAGTGGACAAGGCCCTTTGGGAACACAAAAATATCACCCTTGTTAAGAACCTTTGAGATGAGTGTGTTGCTTGGATTCGAGGTCACAAAGCCAACGAAGAGCGATCCCTCAAGCACAGCTAGTATCTCGGTGGCACGAGGGTGCGTGTGAGGCGGGTTTTGTCCTTTGGGAGCATAGTCAATACGGACCATGGAGATCCCCATCGTGTTCAACCCGGGGATCTGTGCAACATTGGCTGCTGTCACGGCGGACCCCTGTTTGTTGCTGGTGTTGCCGGCCATGTGAAGGCCGGAGAAGAAGAAGTGCTCGGCAACAACATCTTTTGCATCTTTGCAGGCAAATCCATTAACGTGAACTGCATGTTTACATCATGTAAGATAATCTCGATCATAATTATATATGGTACTGAGTGCTTAGTATAGTAATTTCTTCTGTGAAAACGGAAAACAAAACAACTTTAGTTGTACCTTGAGACGTCTTGTCTGCAACACAGAAGTCTTGGAGAAGGCTCGGATCTGAAGCGATGGCACAGCAGCATGCCATAGCTAACATAGAAATAAACAGGAAGAGACGACGAATAGCCATCGCTAGTTCGTCCGTCTTAGTTTTCTAGCTCCCTGACTAGAACTCTACGTACCAAGCTTGAAGAGATGTTCTCTTTACGTACTGTTGTACTGATCGCTTTCTGTGTGGCTAAAACATGGAGGGAGTTGGTATTTATAGGAGAGCATTGTCGTTGTGGTTCAGGGCAGGGGAATTAAGTGATTAATTATTGTGGTGTGATGATTCGGCAGTAGGAAGTAGGAACAAGTCTTCCAATTCCATGGCGTCATTGCGTGTGCTTGATTTAGATGCATTAGCCAGTCTGCTGCTTAATTGCTGATAAGGGACGGCAAGAACCAACCCACTATATGTCTTGTGCTTGAACTAGTCTCTTGTAGTATTTTAGCGACAAAAAGAAGATGCTGCGATCTCTCTCCAGATGGAAATCACTCAAATAAAGGTGTAAAAATAAACACACTATTAATTACATTACATGTATTAACAATAATAACTTCCGCTGGTGGCGTGATGACAGCTAGATACCAAGCTTGATTAGTTCCGTGATTTGTCCAGTTGTGGATGTCTGTACGATAAGCTCTAGCCGAATACGTGCCACTACAAGATATTTCATATTTCTCAAGTGTGAAAGAATCGTTGACCGCTCTTTTTCCTCCTTACTGTGAGAGAATATAGTCTCAGATTATATCTTGTGTCTCATTACTTGTCATTGTCAGCTAAGAATATATGGTTGGCAAACGCAAATATTACTGAGTTTTAGTAGCCACCACCACAGGCCGGCCAATATGCTAGCCAGTCATCATGCAAACTATATATGGCAGATATCAATTGTGAACTGTGGAACATTCTCTAGTGCCATTAAGCACTCAGCTGGCAATTCACTGACAATATCTGTGGCAGAATAAACTAAGGGTGTGTTTGGTTTATGAAAGCTAGATGAGATGGTACATTATAAGTTCATCCTTTGAAATTTGATAGAATCAACCCATTCCTCAATCTTCACGCATATACTAATTATTAGCTTATGAGTAATGAGGTGGTGAGGTCAGTATTCTTGTTCTAATCCGTTTAGAGGAGTTCATGTGTTCATATCCGAGTCTGGATATTCGATACCATGTTTATATTGATGATACTCAAATCGCATATGTATGATATCCATATTGTTATAAGTTAGTAATAAATTAGCCCTCACAGTCACTACAGAACTGACATTCACTGCCGGTATCATTGCCGCCGGATTTCAGTGAACCGGCAGTGAAAACATATCAGTGTCGCTTCTGGGCTTCCCAATCAGAAAATGATTGGGGATGTCCAAGAGCCGGAAGTGAAAGTCCATATCACTGCCGGTTTATGGCTGGAACAGTGAGTGGACGGTGACATATCACTGCCGATGCTAGCCAGGAACCGACAGTGATGTGGTGCTATCATTGTCGGTTCTAGCCAAGAACCGACGGTGATAAACTGACTACAAAAAGCTGTTGTCCTCTCCTCCCTCCTCTCTCCCATCTCGAGCACACCCATCCAGGAGTGCGCGTTTTCCCCACTCCCTCCATTGTTGCGGCCGCTCTTCACCATGAAGCTCTTGGATTTTGAATCATGAGCATGATCGTCTTGCTTTAAGGTTAGTAACAAGCATCCACTCCTTTGATTATGTTGCTTAATTACCGTTGTTTTGATGGCTACATTGCTTGATTCTCATTCTAGTCATTTCTCCATTTTAGAAAGCACTTTGGAAGGCATCCAAGTAAATTGTGGTGAATCCATCATCCAAAAGGTTGGTGTCTATGAACCCATTTAAATTCCTAGCTAATTACATGGTGGTTTTGATGATTGTTAGTATGTGATGCTATAATTAGTTCTTGTAAGGAGTAGAGTAGATTCTTTTACAATTTTGATGAGCAAATTAATCCATGTGTCACCTACCAACCATTGTTTGGAGCTACATTGTTGTTCATGATTAAGTCTCCAATTTTAGTTTTTTTAAATTAGTGTCCATTTTTATGTGGCATGGAGTAGAATAATTGTTCTTGATTAGTGCACAATAATTGTATTTTATGGGGCTATGATTTCCAATTTATATGGGACTACCAATTTTAATTTTCCAATAATTAGTGTAGAATATTTTTTTTCCAAAATGGGGCGACTAGATTAAACTAGTGTAGAATAAATTGTACTTTTTGAGCTACAATTGTTGTTCATGAAGCTCCACTTGTTATTAATTCTCTGTAATTAGTCTCTCCATTTTTATGTGGCATGAAGTCCAAATATTGTTTTTATGCAGAGATGGATCGAGGGTGGATGTACGGTTCGTGAATGGACACGTGACACAAGGATGACGTCTGCAAGTTTCTCGCCACTGCCAAAGCCGATGCTGGGATGGAAACCTTTGTATTCTACTCATGCAAAGATTGCAAGAATAAAAGGAAATGGGGTAGAATTGAGTTTATATGAATGCAGTTGATTACTAGGGGGTTCATGTCAAACTATATGATATGAATATGCATGGGGAGGTTGGTGAGAATGTTCCGCAAGAAAACAATGATGATGTGGCCATGCCTGACGTAGCCGTCCATGAGTCCATTACTAACAAGGAAACCGGTGTCAACACGCAACCTGTGGCTACCGTTAATGATGTGTTTAGGAATATATTAGCTGATGACACCGAGCATGATGATGGCATTTCTCAGCTGCTACGTAATGTAGAGAGTGGATTTCTTAGTGATAGACAGTTGAGAAAGCTTGAGATAATGAGATAAGATAGCAAAACACCATTGTATACGGATTGTCCGCTGAGCAAACTAGAAGCCGACATCATGCTATTAGAGTTTAAATCTACACCGGATTGAGCGATAAAGGCTTCAATCACTTCTTAGGTATGGTAAGAAAACTTCTCCTAAAAAAACGAGTTGCCAGAAAAGATATACCTGGTCAAGCAAATGATCTGCCCCATCGGCCTCGATACACAAATAATTAACTTTTGAACATTTGCCATGATTTATGCAGGTGTTAGCAAAACATTGCTTATACAGAAAATACACTCATGTAGCCTTCTTGGGCCCCGAGCGAGTCAATGAGAAAACATCAGGAGGCATTCATGGATGTGACATGGAAGACGATCTGGCAACACAATTGATTGAGGTTTTTGAACAGTTCAAGATGCATAAAAACGAACATACTTCTAACCTACAATTGGGAGTATGTGTTCTCGGCTCTTATTTTTATGCTCCTTTTTTAGTTAAGATTATTCGTTAACTAGGACTTTGTGATTGCAGCAACCATTTTGTCTTCATTGATATCAATATTCACAAAAATAGTATCGAGGTGTGGGACTCGAAAAAAGCCACTTTCTTTGATCGATCCCCTAGTCAAAGTGCTGAGTAAGTGAACCTAATAACATATTATTTTCTAATCACACAGCACATTCTAATGTTGCACCTTTTCACACTTTATAATGTGGCATAGTGTCCAGGCAAGAAAGATTGGTGGGACGCAGGTCCCATTCTAGGTTGTAGAAATGCGAATGAAGACCATACAACAGCCGGCGGGAAACAACGAATGTGGGTTCTACGTAATGTGGGCAATGCTTCGCTACCTCAACGGGAAATCAGATAAGACAGATGAATTGGTGTGTATAATTCCTATTTCATTTATATCAATTAATTCAACAAAATGATCTACTATTTTCTCTTACATTTGTGCCTTTCGATATCATCTTTTTTGAACGATAGCGCAAGAAATTTAATCATGAAAGGCTATTAGAAATGGAGATCATAGGATTGTCAGCGGAGCTAGCATCCTTCATCTTATCCGAGATATTGGAAACAAAAGAAACATTCTCCATTGCACGGTCCCATAAGTACAAGCCACAGTATGGGCCAGAGCGGCTCGCTAGACTATTGTAATTTCTTTTTTTATTTTGAGGGATCGAGATCTTGATAAGTACATTTGAACTGTAAACGTAACATTTGTAATGTTTAATGTTGATGGACCTGTCATCTATGTAGCAAACCGGTAGCAAAACATGATTCTACAAAAAATAATAAAATAAATTATAAAATAATAAAATGTTAAAAAGAGATCACTGCCGGTTAGCAAAAAACTGGCATTGATGGTCAAGAGAGCACTGCCGGCTGGAGCTACAAACCGGCAATGTTGGTCAACACAAGACTGTCGGTTTGAGCTACAAACCGATAGTGTTGGTTGACACAAGACTGTTAGTTTGAGCTACAAACCTATAGTGTTGATCAAGAGAGCACTACTGGCTTGAGCCTCAAACCGGCAGTGATGGACAAGAGAACATTACCGGCTTGAGCCAAGAACCGACAGTGTTGGTCAAGGCAACACTGCTAGCTTGAGCCACAAACTGGCAATGTTGATCAAGAAAACACTGCTAGCTCAAGCCACAAACTAGCAGTGTTGTTTGATAGAACTCTGTCGGCTTGAGCCACAAAATGGCTGTGTTGGGTCAACTAGACACTGCTGGGTTGTGCCAAGAATCGACAATGACGTTTCATATCACTACTGGTTCTTAGTTACCGGCAGTGATGTGAACCCCCCATCACTGCCGATTTGGTTGTGCTGGTTCAAAATCCGACAGTGAAGGGGGGTTTTGAACTGACAGTGATGTCTTGATCTGTGGTAGTGAGTGACAAGTTGTTCGCCAATCTCCACACATGGAACCATCAATTAAATGTACTAAGACTACACAATGCAAGATAACAAACAACACCAGATGCATGACACTTGTTGATCGATGAGGTTCAACTAAAACCTACATCTCTAGGGCATGAGCATGACTACGAGCACTCTTCCCCAATACCACAACACCGGCTACTCTAACATCTCAACAAAATGTCACCTATCTCTCCCGCGATCCTATTGCTATGTCGTTATATAGAATTCTTTAGCAAAACACCCAGACCAGCTTAAAGTGAATAGTCATGACCTCTTTTCCTTGTGTGAGCTCATTTATTTCTTGAGAAAATAGAGTTCTTGTGTTCTTGAGAGCTAGGGTTAGGGAGAGG